TTGCTAATATTTCAATAACTCCAAGTTTTCTTCTTCTTCTTCTTTTTCTGAAAATTAATGGTCAACTTTCTGGTATAAATATCGAACCTACAAGTAGGCTGGTATTCAAATATCAGGAGTTGACTAGAAAATTCTAAAAAATTCTTTAATATTCACCGATTCTAATTGAGAGTATTTTTTCACCACAATATACTAGTTATGGGAAACACTTTTGCCTTTCAGGATAAATGAACCCTATCAGAACATATACATGGATTCTTTCTATAATGATTTATTTGGATATAAAAGCCCATAATAAATTCAAAATGCCAATTTTGCTTATGAGTGTAAGTTTTTATTCTGAACCATAGATGAACCATCTGCTAGAAATCCATCAACATCTTTGAGTCATATCCAGGCTACACAATATAATTTACCTAATGTAAGATGCGTTAGGGGAAATAATATCTTTCATGGTCACAACCAATCCTTTACCTTGGAATTTCTGATAAGATTAGTCTACCCGAGTCTCATAATGACCCTAAACAAAACAATTGGGTGGCGACTCCTTGACCCCAATGTGCAACATATTAAATTGATTTAATAAAATAAAATAAAAAAATTATACAAGACCACATATTAGAAATATTATTTTAAAATAAAAATATTTTATTTTGAAAAATGTAGTTCCTTTATACATAAGATAAAAAAAAATTATAAATGAATTAGAAAAAACTTCTTTGAAAATTAAATGCATAACCAAAAATTAATCATCATTTAATAGAGGATCTCTAAACAAAATAAAAGAGAGAACAGGCTAATATCTAAATATACAAAAAGCGTTAATTGAAAAACAATTAAAAAAAAAAGGGAAAAAAAGCCAGGCGATGCTTGGCCTAACCCATTTCATTAGGTCTCACACGACTGGGCCTCTTTTTTGCTGAAGTTGGGGCTCCACCCTAATTTTATTTTAAAAAAATTAAACAACGCTTCGTATGATCTTGCCTAAGTTTCAACCATTATGGTGGTTGAAAAATCATAGACTAAAATTTTTTATCCAAAAATCTGTTTTTGACCTCACACGCCTATAAAACACCTTAATAACTATAATAAACTTATTCATGACTTAAAAAACCACAAAATCGTCCTAAAATCTAAAATCAACTCGAGCTCGGATATGTTTTTCCATGAATTTCAAAGGTAATAAAAACACTTAGGCCATGTTTATTTTTAGAAATTCACTTTTCTGTAAATCACTTTCCTCACTTTTTTATGTTTGGCAAATACATAAAAGGTTAGTCAAAGGAAATTAAATTCTGGTAATAGGAAAGTGTTAACTTTAACAGCAGGAAAGTGTTTTCCCCTTTTTATTCTTGGAAAACACTTTCCTTTTCTTTTTTACTTACGTATAAAACAAATCTTTCCTTCTCTATACAACTGATCTCTTTAAAAAATTACTTTGTGTGGTTGTAAATCTCCGTTTCTCATATCTCATTATTGGAATAAAAAATCATCTTATTTCAGGTAATTATTTTCCTCAAATATTTCTATATTATCTGTCTTTTTGTTTCCTGTTCTTTATTTGGATTTTTAATTGTGATTGTGATATAAATCTTATGAGCTTGTTAATTCTTGTGAAAAATTCAGAACAATTCCATGCTCTGTTTTGTATAGGATCATAGATCTTGCTTGTTTAATGTGCATGTTGATAATCTTTAGCTTTTCATCCCATCGCCATATTTTTTCTCTACCATACTTTTTCAATCTTTAGCTTTCTGTCAATAGAATTCAATAACTTAGGATATCATTCTTTATGGGTATTGGTTTGAGAAGAGATAGTGTGGCTTCTATCTCTGTTCCATGCCTTAAGATTGTCTTGATTAACAATATGTATAGTCTAGGCAGTAGAGGGAGTTATAGCTATTGCCTGGAGAAGAAAAATTGCTTTAACATGGAGGGAACCCATAGCCTTGGCACAATTAACTTTTTTTCTTTAGTTTATCCCCTTCAGCATGGTGAAGACAGCTAGAGAACCATTGATATTTTCTTGAGCAAATTACTATAAGCAAATGCTATTGAATTAATAGAACAGTTTTGCTAAAAAATTATTACCTTTAACATTACCCTTTCACAAAAATTCACGATGTTGTCTCCACCTGAATTGGGATGTGGAAATTTACAAACAAAACAGCCTGTTCTTATAAATATTTTCATCAACTCACTGCTTGAATTATTGAAAAAGCAGCAATCAACCTAACTTATCTTTATCGTTTCTGTCATTTTCGATGGCTGTTCCAGTGCCTGAATTTGTATTTGTTCCACCACTTTTAACAGTCGTTTGAGTGCCCAAATTTGTATTTGTTCGACAAGTACACTTCCTTGATTTCCTCAGTGTTGAAAAAGCAAGAGGACCCAGACAAAGTTGTTGTGCCCAGTATAGTCTTCTTGCACAATCTGTTGGGACGACATGAAGATAATTTATGACAACTTGGCATTCATTAACTTCACCCTTTCCATGCACAACCTTCATTTTTGGAGTCAAAAGGCGCATGTGAATCTTAACTTAACCAAGAGCTACTTGTAGTCTCCTTCTTTAATCTTGTCAAACTCGACTTTAATAAAGAACCGCCCTTATAAATGCATGCATGTATATAATTACCAAGCACTGTTATGCGTTAACACTGCCTTTTCGATTTTGCTTCGTTAATGGCCAATTAATAATTCTTTTTCTGTTTTTTGGGCAATATTTAATATTTTTTTCTTTTCTGTACTGGCAATAAGTTTCTAAATAATATCGGGTTTTTTTTATCTCAACATGATTAGCATATTAATTAAATCATATTTAATAAAAAGAAGTCAGTCTTCGTTCAATCTCTCCTTCATTCTTAGTTTAATAGAAACAAATGATTTAAGAACTGTGATTGTGAATTATTATCACGCTCTCTCACTTCATGTGCTTATATCTGAGCAGCAGTTTATATGTACGAATGCATGTTTTGATGATTGTTAGATTTTGATTCAGAACTTGTTATCTGGTAATTGTTTCTGCTTTTATTTTCAATGACATCTGAACTACATAATTGAACTGAACATGACATCTAGAATTACAAGTATTTCTAACTATCCAAATATATCCAAATATATTGATTGTGTCAGTTTGATCATAATTTCTTATATTGATTGTGTAAGTATTTAATATGCTTTTTGAATATTTATTTCTCCATACTTTTTAGGTTTCATTATCAGAAAACTTCACTTTCTTATAATGGATAGCAAAGATTAATCATGCAATATGTATAGGAGCAGTTGTAACTATCATAGCTATAGGAGTAGTTATTATTAAACAAGAAAGAAGTAGAATTTATATGCTAAGAGAACCACGTATAAATGTAATTGCTCAACGAGAATTCTATATTGATAGCATTTTGAATCGAGGTGATAGACATTTCATCAAACAAATTCGTATGAAACCAGTTATGTTATATAATTTATGTGATGTTTTCACAAGTCATAACCTATTACGATCAACTCAAAATGTGTCTATTAGGGAGCAAGTAACTGTGTTCTTACAAATTATAGGTTGAAACCAAAGATTTTTTTTTATTAGTGGTATATACTATAAGTTTGTTGAAAATATTTATCGTTACTTTAGAATTCTATTAAAAGCAGTTTTTAAGTTATACAAACACCTTATCAGGGGATACAGCTCCTGCGGAAATAATGAATAATCGCAGATTCTATCCTTATTTTAAGGTATGAGAATAATATCAATATTTTATATATTAATTAATTACATCTAGAAGAAAAGGTTATAAATTATTTTTTTTCATGTCTATATAGGATTGTGTGGGAGCAAATTGATGGTACCTATATTCCTGAAAATGTTCCTGTTAAAATTCAAGGAAAGTTTCGAGGTTGAAAAGAGGGAATAAGACAAAATATTTTAGCAGCTATAACTTTTAATTTGAAGTTTATATATGTTTTAGCTGGATGGGAAGGAAGTGCATACGATTCCCAGGCTTTAGGTGATGCACTATCAAGACCTAGTGGACTAAAAATTCCAGAAGGTATAAATTAAATATTTACAATATGCAATAAACATGTAAATTGTCTAATTAGATAAAGATAATGATAGGTTTTATTTTTTATTTGTAGGGAAATATTATCTTGGTGATGCTAGTTATGGTATTCGAAAAAGAATCATTATTTCTTTTCGTGGAATTCGATACCACTTGAATGCGTTTACAGAACATTCACCGAAAAATAAAAAAGAGTTATTTAATCTTTGACACTCTTCATTACGAACCGCTATTGAGCGAGGGTTTGGTATTTTGAAGAGTCGTTTTAGATCAATTGATGGAAAATCTTTTTGGTCTTATGAAACACAAGTAGATGTTGTGCTTGCATGTTGTATTATTCATAATCACATAATGGGAGTTGATCCTTATAACTTTCTTAGGGAAGAAATATGTTCAGAAAGTGAATCAATTAGAAAAACAATCAGTTTAAGCCAACGGGAGGAGAGGGAAGAGAATAGGGAGTGGATAACAAAAAGAAAAATGATTGCATCAACCATGTGGAATGATTATAACACTCAAAGAAACTAGTAATTGAGTGTTAATTATATGTGTTTGTTTTTATTATGTCTTTCTTGAGTTTGTATTGTCTTTGTTATATATTTGGATTGTTTGTTGACTTTATTATAATTTATTATGTATTTCATGTGTTTTTTTAAAATAGTAGTTGTATTTTTTTGTATAAAATTAGTTTAATCTAAATATTGTATAATTTTATTTTGTATAAATTTGTGAATTTTTTTGTAAAAATGAATACTGTGAAGAATGAAAAATGCAAAGGTAGGCACTTCACATGGTCAAGCCTATGTCTCATATGCTATTTGAGATATTAGTCGAGGAGACACTTAAATGAAACAAGCCTTCTTCCACCTTCAAAGCAGAATCTTTTGCAAGGTAGCTATAGAAATTAGTTAAAAGTTCAACGTGCAAGATGAGCCAAAGCATGTGGACAATCATCTCAAAACTGTGGAAAAAAAATGGGAAATAATAACCCAACTTAAAAATAAAAGTGGTTTTGGTTAGGATGATTGTTTGAAAATGATTACGGATTCGAAAGATGTATATGATGAAGAAGTAAATGTATGATAAATATTGTATTCTATGTCATTTTTACATTTACTTTTGTTTCCAAAACTTTATACAAGGAACTGAAAATTGTATATTCTAATTTTTATGAACAGGCACATCCGAATCATGACAAGTATCTCAACAAAAAACTTGATATGTATGAAGCAATGATAATTGTTGTTGAAAAAGACATGGCAACCGGAAATTATGCCAAATCATATGCTGATATCAACCTAGAAGAGAACATTGAAGTGTAATCTATTTCAATTGAAAATGAAGGAGAATATGAAGAAACTTCAAAAGGTAAAGAGACATCTTCCTCTAATACCCAAAAGAGGCAACATAAGAAGAGATATTGAACGTACGAAGATGATAGTGTTGAAAAGTTGTCTAAAAAGATTGGAGATGTAGCGTTTGTAATTCAAAGCCTAAACAAAAATCAACTTGATGTTAATGAGCTATATACAAAAGTGATGAAAGTTGAAGGCTTTAAGAAGATCGCTCTTGGTGATGTTTTTAATCACTTGGTTCAAAATGAAATGTTGGCAAAAGCATTTATGGTAAAAAAATGCTAATTTGAGAAAAATTTTGGTTCATAATTTTATGAACCAACACTGCTATAGGCCTGATTGCTAGATGATTTCACTATGATAAGAAAGTTTATGTTTGTTTTTTGACAAATATGTTTACTTATTTAATTCAGTCTAGTATGTTTATGTTTGTGAATTTGAACTAATATGTATAAGTATTACACCAAAACTTTTAATATTTATGCATGATTATATTTGATGTAAGATATTTATATGTATTTCTTAATACTTATTTGATATACATTAAAGGGATAATTGTTTATACCCGTAAAAAAAAAAATCTTTATCCAAAAAACCCATCAAAATATTTTTATATTTATTTATCTTTTAAAAAAATCTTCATACCAAAAAAACCCAAATATCTAACTCTTATTACCATAAAATAATTTGGCTTTCTTCATATGAAAAACACATATTTTAAAAATTAAAAAATATATATATTAATAAGTTTTATTTATTAAAAATTTGACAATGTTATATCTCTATAATGTTATATGATATATACAGTTATATTTATAAAATAAGCTATATATGAATATAGGATATAATAAAAAAAATTCATCATTACACTTTTTAGATTTTATTCTTTTATTATAAGTGATTAAATATTTATATTTAATATTTTTCATATATTAGATAAATTTAGAGAAAAAAATTAATTCAATAATAAATTATTTTTCAGTTCATTTTCCATAACATAACCAAACACTGGAAAGTGTTTTCCAGTTTATTTTCTATTACATTACCAAACATTGAAAAATACTTTTCTAGAATTCACTTTTCCATAATTCACTTTTCTTGAAATTTATTTTTCATAAAAAAATTATTTTTCAGCAAACAAACGGGGTCTTACTATGAACTCATCTTATCAAGAGAAACTATTTAACACAAATATTATCTATTTTGGTAGTTTAAATCAATATCAACATGTTTCTATATTTACCATTGGAGTCCGACGATCTTGCTATCTCTTCTCTTTCAACCAAAAACTAAAAAATAACAAAAATAAAATTTTATATCAAAATCAAATTTAAAAAATATTCAGGTACCAAAATTATATAATCCGTATTTTTTTTAAGTTCGAGAACCAAAATGCATCTTTTTCAAAACTTATAACATGTCTCTCATATTTGGTGCTCTTTTTATTTAAGTCCCTCTTCTTTCAATCCCATCATTTCATAAGAAATCAAAATCAATTGGTTTTCAATGATAATAAAATTGATGGAAAAAAAATTTGAGGATCAAATTAAAAAAATAAAAAAATTTAGTTTTATCTTAATGGTGAGCTCTCTTCTTCACCTTTATTTCTTTTATCAAATTGGATTGTTTATATTTATTTTCTATTCATTATTCATTAGATAAGAAATTTAGATGTTTATAAATTAAATTTTGAATATCCATTCTCTATTATTATTTATTATTCAATAAAAAAATAAAATAGTTAATATATGTGTTTCATATCAATATTTAGATAAGAATATATTATATTGTATTAAAAAAATCTAAATATTCTATAAATATATCTATATAATATAAATATATATTTCAAATTAAATTCAGATGAATTTCAAATTAAGTTTGATAATATTTATATCATATCAATTATTCATCAGATAAGATAACTATCTAAAAAATACTCGGATGAATATCTAACAGGTTACATTAAATTGCCATCCCTACTTCCAACAGCTGGACATCCTATATCCCTGCTCTGTTCCTAGGCAGTGAGACCAATGGGAAGCTCTGATTCACCAGGTTCAGCATCATTCGCTAAAACATCCAGCATATCCATACTGGCTGCAACTTCTAACATTTATCAAAATCAAATTAAAATACCCAACTTCAATCAGTCAATCTCCAGCAAGTTTAACTTGTATCAAAATCGAATTCGCCACAAGAACCTGAAGAAGTCACAATAGTTGCTTGAACTAGTACTATAGAGGTCATCCTACACCACCAAATACCACGGCCGCGGATTACTGAATATCCCATTCATAAATTGCAGGATCCAATCAAGGGGTGTTGAATCCAATTATCAAGCTACACCAAAAAAACCAAATCTATTTATCAAACTTCACCACCGGGCTCCTGCAAAAATTTTGCTCAGGGATGTATCCTGCCTCAGATCCTCTTCCAGTATATGCTCAAGAATTGTAATAACATTCGTGATTTGAAGACAAAAAGTTTCCAAGACATCGATCAAATGAAGGACATAGTTAGGTAACAAACACGTAAAAACATGCCTTGTATTAAAACAAAGAAGAAAAACATGTGAAAGCTTGCCGGCGGCATTTTCTTAGGCTGCCAGCATGCGCATTATAGGGTTCTAGCCATTTATTAGGTACAGTGCACATAAATGTCACGCAAATTTGTGGATTTTGCAATGCATCATTCATGATACCGACAAACTTTGCATTTAACAAGTGAATTAGAATGCTATCTGAATGTTATCTATTCATCTTTCAGACTAAAAATACTAAAAGTGCGCATCCATCCCTAAAACTGGACAAGTCACACAAGTTTCTAACCCCAGAATGGAAGCTATCTGATACCCATAGAAAAAGAAGAGCCCCATGGATTATTAACTTCAGCATTATTCCCTCTGCAGTGAAAATGAAACAGCCAAGCAATTACCATAAAATCAGGTTATATCTGTATGATAAAGTATATAATTTTAAGTAATATGATGAAGTATATAATTTTAAGTAATATATGACAACCACCTTCCACCATTTAACCAAAAGAATTGTAGTTGACATGTAGAGATGTAAGCACCCCACAAGCAACGAAGCTAAAATGATTCCAACTTGCAAATAACAAACATGCAGTATTTGGCTGTGCTCAAATGATTCCAACCTGCAAATAACAAACCTGCAGTATTTGGCTGTTTGGCAGTGCATCATAAAGTATTTTTAAAAAATTAATTTTTTTTTTGGCAGTGTATCAGAAAGTACTTTAAAAAAAAAATTGTTTTTTTTTTTAAATTAATATATTTTTAATATTTTTAAATTATTTTAATATGCTTAATTTTTAAAAATAAAAAATATTATTAATATATTTTTTTAAATAAAAAATACTTTAAAAAAATAACCATAATCATACTCCAAACGTTTATGTTTGAAAGTGTAATAGTAATTATTTTTTAAAATATTTATCCTACTATGATAGTGATTATTTTTCAAAATATTTTTCATTCTAAAACACATTAAAATAATATTTTTTATTTTTAAAAAATTATTTTTTACATCAACACATCAAAATTATCTAAAAATATATTAATTTTAAAAAAACAATAAATTTTTTTTAATTTTTCAAAAATAATTTCCAACTCAACTCCAGTGCCAAACACTGCTGCGCACCCTCATAGATGTCTAAATCAGAATTAAGCCCGAAGGCTGTCGAGGACATGCAAATGTATTTCTGCTGTTACCTGGAAAAGGTATATGCTGGCCTTACACAACAATCTTTCAACACAACACCAGCATATTAGAAAAAGAGCACAGGGAAACCAATAAGAAAAACCAATTCAATAAAACAGCAACCACAAAAACATAGCATCGATAGCCTCCTGGGCAAAGGATCCTATCCAACTGGCTGTAAATAAAAGTGAAAAGGTGATGCAAGAAAGTCACACTGTAGAAACAAGACAGGGGAGACATATTGCACACGTTTCAAAGACAACCAATAATCAAAGGCACGTGCAGAGACAATTACAGAACATGCATATCAATAGTTAGGAGGGGGGCAATCACTGTTAGGAACTTACTTTCAGCGTGAGCAAGGGACAGATTAGTCCAGGCCACATATCATGCTCAGCAAGGACAGCAAAAAGGGTAACAAAGAGAAACAAGAGAAAGAACACCGGGACATGCAATCTGCTTAAGAGATATCCAACGAGCAATCTAGCTCTCATCCGTTGGCTAGCACAGGCATTCTATTACAATAAGGGCATCATATTAAAATGAAATAGTTTCAGTAAAAACCTTCTCCTAGCATAGACAGCCCAAACAAGCAGCACTTAAAATACTCGTGATGATACAAGTGATAGAATGTAAAATCTTTTTAAAACAAAGAGAAACCGAAAACACCAAACATTAGCATATTACTTTCAGTCAGGTGTATAAAGCGGATCTTGAACATCATCACTCGACACATGCAAGACAGCAAAAAATTACATTAAGTTACCAACATGTTCTTGATAATTAAATAACAGAAACCAGGTTTTCAAGTGAGAAGCAAGGGAACTTTTCATTCCATAAGCATTCGTGCACAAACCTCAACCGTGAATCAGTCTCAATAAAGAATCAAATTTTATATAGGTGGCCCCACAAAAGTGACTCCTAAAACATGTTTTTTAGCCTGAGAGGGTTCCTTCAATGTTTTCAGAACTCTGCACCTTTTTTACCCAATCGCCTAAAGAAAAAAATATGTAATTACAGCTATAAAACTACATATAATGTAACACTTAAGTAATCACATGCAGTGCAACTATGAAAGTATCAAGACTTGCATTGCAATCAAAGCAATTAGCTAAATTAGCCCATCCATGAACTATTGGATTTTAAGGCTGTATCCTAGAAAGTAATTATCAAAGATGGAATCTAAAATAGTATCATGCACAAGCAGTTAGCAACCCGATCGAGAATTAAGGAAAAGGAAAACATGGAATATTGTATTTCATGTATTGAGTTTCTATGTTCCATATCTATTCACAAACTGAACAAGGGTTTTCTACATCAGCATATGCACCACACAGATAAGAACCAGTATTCAAAATAAGAAATAGCTCAATTCTCGGGTGCCAAAAGATATAATGATCTATACCCCACATCTAAAAAGTCTAAGAAATGACAACCTGATTCTAGAATAGAACACACAAGACATACGGAGAAAGAGATAGACCCAACATTCGAAAGTTCATCAAAACAGAGAGTTCTCCTCCTATGACCTCATGGTACAAGAACGACCCAACCTTAAAGTCAGATTACTTCCGGGCACAATGGCCTCCACCTCCACAGAATCATTCTTATACAGTTCCCTGCAGTTCGGACAGCGGCCATCCAGCTCAAGCATTTTGTTGTAACAGAAAAGGCAGACCTGAAACCCACATGAACATGGCAGGAAACTCGCATCTGTGAAGTCCAAATCTTCTGTACATATAGGACATGCAGATGGCACATTAACACCACTAGCACAAACCCACGCATGCCTTCCCCGTCCATAATGCCTATCAGTATTCGGAAAGCTCCGCTGCTTGGACAAATTAGGAAGACTCTGCGGACGAAGTGCATCATCCGGCCTCCAAGCCCGACTGTTCCCAGGAGTCACTCTTGATGGGATCCTTCTCTCCCGCGCCAAATTCTCATGATTAGAACCCAAGTTGCACGAATTACAATCCAATTGAACAACAGGTTCATGCTCCCGTGAAGACTGCAATTCTAGACATGGATTGTTATCATCATTATGGTTTTCTTGTTTATTATCGTAGTCACTGGCAGCTAAAGCATCCGCCAAAGCCTCCCAATCATCCAAGCAACTATCATCCCCTTCGTCATCCTCGTCCGTTATGCTACCAGAGCAACAACCACCGCTACTTCCACTAGTACTGCTGCCACTGCTGGAAGCAGTAAAATTGGTGCTTGAATCATTTCCACCTAGGACACTGCTGCCAGTAGGACTATTTGAAGGGGAATCCATATCAAAATCACGATGGATCGACCCATTTTCATCCTCATCCTCCCCTACTCCTCTTCCTTGCGGCCTCGTCTGCAAATTTTCTAACGGATTCTTCCTTCCCTCTTCATGAATTTGTTGTGGCGACCCTCGTGGTCCCATCAATTCCTCCTTGCACCCCCTATTCTTAACTGTACCTGATAAAAAAAAAAAAGTAAAAATCCACCGTCTAAATAAAAAAAACCCCACACCACATTATTCAAAACTCAAATTTACTAAAAATATTTACAGGAAAAAAAAACACATTGATTTAAAAAAAAAAAAAAAACTTCACCTTGAGAGAGCCATTGCTCACGACGAGCATCAAGCTTGCACTGTTTCAATTTGGCTGACCTATTGGCCTAAATAATCCAAAAAAGCAAAGCAAAAATAGACAATAAGCTACAAAAGAAGATGAATTTACAAGATTGATTTAAAAAAAATCTAATTCTAGAAGAAAGAAAGGAATCGTATTAATACCCTCTTCTTCTTGCCGAAATCTTTCGGGACAGAAGGAATTGAAGCGTTGATTGAATCGGAAACCATGCTTACTTCTGCAAATATCTGTGGATTTGGAAAAACCCTAATTTGTTTCAACAGGTAGAGATGAGAATTTTTTTCTAGAGAGAGAAGGAAAGATATTTGGGTTTTTTTTCCTTTTTTTGGTGTAGAGAGGCGAGAATAGAGAGAATGGATAACGGAAACTTCTCTGCTTCGCTCTGCCCTTAATTTTGCAGATGGCCTTCTGTTATATTTATATAGCGACTCCGTTGCTAAAATACCCTTATCTTTCATTTTATTTGCTGATGTACCGCGTTAGGTGTAGGCGACTGTGTTTTGCATGTAATAATTGGGGTACAAATGTGTGCGCGTACGTACAGTCGCAAGGAACGATGACGTTTTTCCTTCTTTTGTTTACTTGGTAAACAAGGAAGTTTGTACTATCTAGATTTTATTTTTTGCTATATCAGGTAAATAGCGTTGATTAGGCTGTTGTTTTAAGAATTGGTTAATATTATGATGGTATTTATTGTTTTTAAAATGCTTTTATTCGAAAATATATTAAAATAATTTTTTAATTTTTAATAATAGTAAATAAAAATGTTTCAAAAACATCTAAAAGAATTTAATTTGAAATAAAAAAATTATTCTTTGTTAAAAACACAATATTACCACACAAAAGAGCTTAATTAGGGAAATGTGACCAAACTCCACAATTATCTTCATGGATTTGGAATTCAATTTAGAAAAAATTATTTTAAAAAATATATAATTTTATAAAATATATAATATGTTTTTCTCAATACCTGTAAAATCTAAATTTTTAAGAACTCTCCATTTATAAAAAGTTATTTTATAACTTTATTTTATAATAATAAAAAGACTTATTGAAAAATAATAAGGAATCAAATAATATATAATCCAACTTTTATATTATTATAAACTCCCAAACAATTTGAAGATGTTGATTAATTTAAGTACAAGAGATAATTTTTTTTCTTTGCTTTTATATCATTATGAATCTTAAATTAATGCATGAATTTTTTGGGTTAAATAGAAGTAATTTTCAATAAAGCTATACTAAGAAATTATGATTCAAATTATTTTGAACTCAGTGTCAATATTTTTAATTTATAACAAATTGTTTAATTCATAGTTATAATTTTCTCCTATATTTTTAAACTTGATATCAATATTTAATTTTTATTTTTTACCCGTAAATGTGGAAAGACGAAGCTATGATACGTGGCGTGAAAAATATATTATTTTTTAATAGATGGTAGAGGGTAAAAAGTTTCTATTAATCTATCTGCTCTTGATTTTTGTTCTAATTACTTTTATTTATATTAATATCAATCCTCTACTTTTAAAGATATTTTTGTTTGGTCCTTATTCGACTAGAAGGCATGTTACCTTTAAATCATTAGATTACATGAAATTATATCACTGACACTAGCCCAAAATCCTTTCTTTTTTTTTTACACATATTATAAAATGATAGAAAATCCTTTTCTTTTTTTTACACATATTATAAAATGATAGGATGTAACCAGATAATTTAATAATTACTTGGACTTCAAGTCAAATAAGGATGAAACAAAGATGATTTTAAAAGTAAAGTGTTGACATTAGTATAAATAAAAGTAGAGGGAGCAATCGTAGTATAAAATAAAGAACACGTGGAAGCAAAGAAACTTTTCAGTTGTGGTAAAGTTTCATTGGTTAAAATTTAAAAATATGGACATATAAGCAACTTGTGTGCCTTATCCATGATAGCATATTTATTTTTGAATTTTAAAATTATTTTTTAAAAAAATAAAAGTTTTTTTTTTTGCTTCAAATTATTTTTTTTTATTTTTAAATTATTTTGATGTGCTGATATTAACAATATTTTTTTAATATATATATATATATTATTTTAATTTACTTTCAAACAAAAAACACTTTAAAAAATAACTGTTATTATATTTCTAAACACTAACTTTAAAGATAATTTTTTTTATTTTTTGGTCTATAAGCAGTGAAGGAATCTCACAAGCAAAAGGACATTAGTTTAAAAAAAAAAGAGAAAAGAAAAGAAAAGGTTTGGATTGCACCGACATCTCTTCTTAAAAAAAAAAGAGAGAAAAGAAAAGAAAAAAATAATTTTCACACACTTCTCTCTCCCGCTCACAAATAATCACACACACACACACCAAGAAAAAAAAATAAATGTTTGGATAGCAAGTACAAACACCTTATGATGATGGAGCATCAAAGAAAAAGAGGTTTTATATTTCAAATCAAGTGTGGTTGCATGCATTTAACTCAAATTTTATATTTCAAATCAGGTCTGGATACATGCATTTAACCTAAAACATTACATATTATGTTTTTAAAAGTGTTTTGATTGATATGCATTAAATTTTTTACTCCATAATATCTTTATATTTTTAAAAATTAAAATAAAATTTTTGAACTGTGTGACAAAATTTTATTTTCTTGATTATTAGAGAACAAAACACCAATATAAAAACCACCAATATTAGGTCGGCAATGCAATTTCTTATTAATATCACTTTCTACTAATTATGTTGGTTGGTTGGATCAAAATTTATTTTTATTCAAAAAAAAGAAAAAACTTAACTCATTAAAAATATTACTTTATTTGATCATCATGATAATCCTATGCTTATCATTGCCTTACCCTAGATATCAAGACCACCAGTTCTATGAACAAACAAAGGTTGACTAATTTGATAGAAATAATCTCCTTTAATTCTTCATCGTTTACAAATGAAAAAACCCAACATATACCTGCAAGTTATGACAACTTAAAACCTATACCTAGACAAAAACTTAATAAAACCTCCAACAAGTTTTTTTTTATAAAAAAAAGTATGAAATTATATCCAATTACACAATCAATATTTAAATTATGAAAAAACAAAATCAACAAGTTAAGACCTAAAGACTTACTAGAGCACAATGTAAGCGATGTTATGGTAGGTTTTATTGGCAATAACAACTTTAATTAAGGGATAGATCAAGAAAAATAAAGAAAAATAGTGCGAGACAAAGAAATAGAAATGAAACCACTTACCTAGATAAAGATTAATTTTCATAAATTAATCTTTTCTTGTCTATTCCTCCTATTTTGAGGAACTTAAATGGGTTTGAAAAATGTCTAGAGAGTCAAAAATTATCTAAAAATGTGAAATTAAGCTAAACAAATGTTCAAAGAACTGAATTTTGCTAGTTTATATTTACGTGGAATTTGTTTTTGGTGATTTTATATAACATGTTTAATGATTTTAAAATAAATAAATTGCATAAGCACTTAAAGGAGAACCTGTATTCCTATTAGTGTGGAATTCAACCTGAACTAGCAAATGAAGATGGGCTTGATTAATGTAGTTGTTATGGTAATTATGTTGATTGATATTAGGTGATATGTAAAGTTTATTGAGTGATAGAAAATTTAAAGGAAATATAAAATTAAAATTTCTAGCTTTTTTTATAGTGGTTTTAATCATATGCAAAAATAAATAATTGTAGATGGCTTAATTTAAATTGATGAGATATTTTATTTGATTATATATACGATGTATTTTTAAGATAGTGTATAAGAAAATTGCATGAGATTTTGAAAGGAAGTCATGTATTGTTCCATTTAAATTTAAGTCATATTTGGAAATGGACTTTGTGTACATTGTTGTTTTTAAAATTATTATTAAAACCTAATTTCAAATATGATCAAATAAGTTTAAGGTGAAGAAAAAATAAATAAATGTCATAGGATGTAAATATTGATTTTTCAGCCAAAAAATGCTTAGTAAAACAAAAAGGGATGGTTATGAGGCATTGTGTTGTACTGAAGAAGATTAAGCTAATGATAAATTTTAAATGGTGTTTTAGCACGTGTAAAAAAAATTTGGTTAAATGGACTAAGAAATTATAGGTTAGAGCTAATTTTAGTCATGAAGATTAATCTAAGATTTAATATATCTTGATGGATTGATGTGAAACTAAGTAAATAAAAACCAGAATGAGATTTCTAGTTTCACTTGATATGAAATGATTGTTTGAAACTTGTTTGGCATATCGAAGATTGTAGAATCTGATTAGTAGTAGGAAATTTCACACAAGTTCAGGTACCAGGTAGGTTCTCTATACCTTTTTCTGTTAAGAGATTTTTTTAAGTTTCAATAATTGCAATATCTTTAATTGTGTTATATATCTATTTTAAATTGTAATATGTTCCATGAAAGAAAAGACAAAATAAGGATATAATTGATTACCCGATAACAAAACTGGTTTCATAATTAATAGGCTATTGGAGAAACTAGTTATTGTGATTAATAATACCAGTACCCTGATTAATGAGCAATTAGAGAAATTAGTCACCTTGATTAACATGACCAATGCCTTGGTTAATGGGCTATTAGAGAAACTAGTTACCTGGAGTAATAGAACTAATTCCCTAGTTAATGGGCAATTGGAAAAACCAATTCATTTGATAATGAAATAGATGCATGGTTTGGGTTAGAAAGGACATTAATATGTTCTTTTAGTTAATGAGTTATTGATACTTCAAGTGCAAAATGATGATATAAAACCATGATAAAAATGCACTTTTAAGTACTAATCAATGACTAACTTATAAATCTGTTAATGAAATGTTAGGTGAAACCAATTATTATATAAAAGTGGTAAATTATGTTTATGATATTGTGTGTTGGATTAATATGAATTTTATGATTTAGTTCATGATATAAATCATGGAATTAATAAATATTTAACATTTATTAATAATAATCTTTATAATAAAAAAGGTGATGTTATAACATAAATGACAGATGAAAGATAAAAAAAAGATTAAATACATGTTTGTTTTGAAAAGTTAAGCAAAGTATAAAATAATTGTTGCTTAAAATTAATAAAACATATATATGATGAGTTTGATAATATGTTACCTAAGTATATATGACACAGTCTGTGAATTGTCATGTAGGAAATTAGAAAATATGTGTTTAATAATATAGCATTTAATATCAAAAATATTTCTAACATGTGATCATTTAAGGTTCCTGAAATTGTTTAAAAATCCATTATTTAATATTAGTTGAGTTATGTGTCATTTGGATTTTTATTATTTTTTAATTATATCATTTTATAATTATTTTCATTTAAATTAATTATTTTCTTAATTCACGATGAGCCTAATTTCTATGTTTTTTAAGGACTAAATCCAAATATTC